GCTAAAAGGATACAAACACTGGCCATCTTTTTCTCGCCATGTCACCAACGTGATCCAGAGAGTACAACAGTAAAAAGAGAAGAGCGGGAAGTTAGGAAACCCCACCAAGGGGAGGATGGAGGGTGACACCCATACTATGTTATCAAAATATACAATACATATAGCGTGCCTGAGTATATCTTGTGGAATATGTAAATGGTACTTCAGTTCACACAGAATAACACAGAGTATGTATTTAGATGAATTTAATAAAATTACCAGTATTTTCAAGCACTAATGTGCCTTCTGTCCAAAAATTCAAATTATTTCACATTCAAATTAATTTCTATAGCTATGTGTGTTTTTTTTAAACTGAAGGCAGAAATTTCTAGATTAGCTAGTTTCAAAGGAATTTAGATGGGACGTTAGAGCTGATAAACACATGTGGAAAATGGTCTGTTATTTAATTTCCTTTCTGACAGCCTGTATAGCTCCACATGTAAGAATTGTTTAAAAAATATGAGGTTCTAAATAAATATCTAGGGGCTATATTGACATTTGTTGTTGTTGAGTCACTAAGTCATGTCCAACTCTTTTGTGACCCCATGGATGGAAGACCACTAGGCTCCTCTGTCCACGTGTTTTCCCAGGCAAGAATATTGGAGGGGGTTGCTCTTTCCTTCTCCAGGGGATCTTCCCAGCCCAAGAATAGAATCCACATCTCTTGCATTGCAGGCGTATTCATTCCACTGTGCCACCAGGGTAGTCCATATTGAGATCTATTGTTGTTCTTCAGTTGCTAAGTCATGTCCAACTCTTTGTGACCCCATGGACTGTAGCCCACGAGGTTCCTCTGTCCATGGGATTTCCCTGACAAGGATACTGGAGTGGGTTGCTGTTTTCTTCTCCAGGGGATCTTCCTGACTCAGGAAGATTCAGGAATTCAACCCATATCTCCTGCTTGGCAGGCAGATTCTTGAACACTGAGCCCCCTGTAAAGCCCATTTGAATAAAAACAGCTATGATCTGGAAATCCAGTTACTAATTTAAGAGGCTATTTGAGATGTGTAATGAATGTAAATTTCACTTTTGTTGTTATTGTTTAGTCCTTAAGTCCTGTCCAAGTTTTTGCTACCCCAAGTTCTGCAGCACTCCAGGCTTCCCTGTTCTTCACTATCTCCCAGAGTTTGCTCAAATTCCTATCCATCTGAGTCAGTTAGTCAGTCAGTTAGATGGATGCTATCTAACCATCTCATTCTCTGCCACCCTCTTCTCCTTTTGCCTTCAACATTTCCCAGCATCAGAATCTTTCCCAATGAGCTGGCACTTTGCAATAGGCTGCCAAAATATTGGAACTTCAACTTCAGCATAAGTCCTTCCAATGAATATTCAGGGTTGACATCCATTGGAATTGACTGGGTTAATCCTGTAGTCCAAGGGACTCTCAAGAGTATTCTCCAGCACCACAGTTCAAAAGCATCAATTCTTCAGCACTCAGCCATCTTTATGGCCAACTCTCACATCCATCCTTACATAACTACTGTAAAAACCATAGCTTTGACTAGACAGACCTTTGTCAATAAAGTGATGTCTCTGCTTTTCAATATGCTGTCTAGGTTGGTCATAGCTTTTCTTCCAAGGAGCAAGCATCTTTTAATTTCATAGCTGCAGTCACCATTTGCAGTGATTTTGGAGCCCAAGAAAATAAAATCTGTCACAGTTTCCACTTTTTGCCCATCTATCTGTCATGAAATGATGGGACCAGATGCCATGATCTTAGTTTTCTGAATGTTGAGTTTCAAGCCAGCTTTTTCACTCTCCTCTTTCACTCTCATCAAGAGGCTCTTTAGTTCCTCTTCACTTTCTGCCATTAGACTGACATCATCTGCATATCTAAGGTTGTTGGTATTTCTCCTGGCAATCTTGATTCCAGCTTGGCTTCATCCAGCCTGGCATTTCACATGATGCACTCTGCATGCATGCATGCTGAGTTGCTTCAGTCGTGTCCAACTCTTTGTGACCCCATGGACTATAGCCTGCCAGGCTTCTCTGTCCATGGGGTTCCCCAGGCAATAAAACTGGAGTGGGTTGCCATTTCCTATTCAGGTGATCTTCCTGACCCAGGGATCAAACCCACGTCTCTTATGTCTTTTGCACTGGCAGGCAGGTTCTTTACCACTAGCACCGCCTGGGAAGCCTTTGCGTATAAGTTAAACAAAAAGGGTGACAATACACAGCTTTGTCTTACTCCTTCCCCAATTTTGTCCAGTCAGTTGTTCCATGTAAGGTTCTAACTGTTGACTCCTGACACATAAGCAGGCTTTTCAGAGGATAGGTAAGGTAGTCTGTCATTCCCATCTCTTTAATAAGAGTTTTCCACAGTTTGTTGTGATCCATACTGTCAAAGGCTTTCATGTAGTCAATGAAACAGATGCTTCTCTGGAGTTCCCTTGCTTTCTCTATGATCCAACAAATGTTGGCAATTTGACCTCTGGTTCCTCTGCCTTTTCTAAACCCAGCTTGTATATCTGAAAGTTCTTGTTTCTTGTACTGCTGAAGCCTAGCTTGAAGGATTTTGAGCATAACCTGACTAGCATGTGAAATGAGTACAATTGTATGGTAGCTTGAACATTCTTTAGCATTACCCTTCTTTGGGATTGGAATGAAAACTGACCTTTTCCAGTTCTGTGGCCACTGCTGAGTTTTCCAAATTTGCTGATGTATTGAGTGCAGCACTTTAACAGCATCATCTTTTAGGATTTTAAATAGCTCAGCTGGAGTAATTTCACCAGAGTTTTTCTAGGTAATTGTAAAAAGTTTACTATTAAAAAGATCCCATAGCTTATTATTACATTATTATTTAAATTCTACATTAAAATTTACAGTCAGAGTCTTAGCTGTTACATAATTTTAAGCTCTTGGTTTCTCTTATTCTTGACTGTTTTATGGTGTGAAATCCTACACTTTCAAATGGAGTTTAGAAATTAATTACAGTTCTTTCATTCATATTGTATCATCTTGTCTGTTATGGTTGAAATGTTTATGTTCCTTCAAATTCATATTTGAACTCAAAGGTGGTATCGGAACGTGAAGGCTTAGTTCATGAGGGTGGAGCCCATGATGGGATTGGTGTTCTTATAAAGGAGACCCCACAGCACTTCCATCAGGCGAAGATACAATGAGAAAGCTCCTGGCATGAATGAAGATGCAGGCCTTCCCTGGACACTAGCTGCCGGCACCTTGATCTTGAACTCCCAACCTCCAGAGAGTGAGAAATAAGTGTCTGCTGTGAGCGTTTGTTAAAGTGATCTGAGTGGACTCAGATTCTGTCCTAACAGAGTGAAACCTCTTTCTTCTTAGACACACTAAATGTACTCTAATCCCAGTGAGAAAATAAACAACATAAAAATAAAAATGGAGAGAACCCAAGCAGCAAGAAGCCAAGAAGGCCTAGCCTAGTTTTCATTGCTATCTGCTTCGTATGCTTTGCCCCCACTACACACACGCACACACACACATACACATACACTCACATGCACACATATTTCTATCCACATTTTTGAGGAGGGAGGGCAGGTAAATGAAGTACATGACTCCCCATTTTATGCTTACATGGCCTCTGGATAATCTTTTGAACACTCAATTTTTTTACTTGTCAGAATTTCAAAACTTTTCAACCACATCTCTCACTTTCAGGCAAAAGTACAAAATGCTGAAAATATCCCAAGGAAACATTATCTAGATTCTTTTTAGAGTAACACCATGGCTTAGCTGATATGTGCCACTTTTTTCTCTTACAGTTAAGTCTGATTTTTGCTAAAATTCCAACTCTCATTCTATATACTGGTGTTTTGAGGAAGTCACTTAACGTGTTCCAATTAAGGCAGTGTTAAATAATTCCCTTTACTCTTCCCAAAGCACTAAAATTCACAGTGGTATGGATTTAAATATACATTATTATGATTACTCTTTAGCCCTGTTGGAGTCTTAGTCAAAGATTCATAACAGGGACCTCCCTGGTGGTGCAGCGGTTAAGAATCTGCCTGCCAATGCAGGGGACCCAGGTTCAACCCCTGGCCTGGGAACTAAGACCCCACACGCTGCGGGGCAGCTAGGCCCATGCACCACAACCACTCAGCGCATGCTCTAGGGCCCACAAGCTGCACCTACCAAGCGTGTGCGCCACAACACAGACCTAGCGCAGCCATAAATAGATTAAATTTTTAAGGAAGATTCACAACATTCTGAGATAAACCTTTGCTCCAAGATAACCAACTGTGTCCCATTCCTGAGTGTGATGCAGACATACTCACTCTAAAACAAAACAAAAACCAGTGCTGAGTCAACACGAGAGACACAGGCTGCTAAGGTCACCATGCGGTGGAGGTCAAAGCCACTAACAACCAGAAGTGGGGGAGCATCACGGGAAGGCTTGGTGGCTTCCAGGATAACCGGGAAGCCCAGGGACTCCTCAGGGTTCCAGACAGCAAACAGTCTGGCTTCCGAATTCACGTGACTTCATTATGAGACCTGGCGAGAGGTTATTCTCACCAGGAAGCCTCGTATTTACTCATCCCCATAAATATTGGTGACGCCACCTCATAAAGCTCTGTGGAGACCATATTTTATCTCAGCACACGTAGACTTTTTTTTCAACTCTGCAAATGGCTTTAGGAAACTTTACTGAAAGCCTCTAAAGTATGAAGGTGATATTAATTATAGGCCTTTGTGGTTATGATATGGGAAATCCGTCCTGAGGGAATCTGTTCTTACTGCCCAATTACATCAACTCAATCCAAGCAGGCTGTTTTTCACTTGCTTGAAAAACAGCCTTGCTTTGTAGTAACAGTAATGCTCCAAATCTTAGATTTATAAGATTCTTCTTCTTCAGAGTTCAGAATGTTTCATGGATGTCTCTTAATTAATCGGAGGACATGGCCTCACTTACTATAATCAACCCCAGTGAAACTCAAGGCCAGCATGCCATGCACCCATGAACCCAGCCCGCGGGGCAGACAGACCTGAGCCCGTACAGCACCGTCCCGTCGGGGTGGAGGCGGATCATGCGATTCTTCACCGTCACTCCGTGCACAAATGACTTTTTGTCATTTAAGAAATATGTATCAGGCACCCAGAGCTGGTCAGCCACTCGATTGTCCAGCGTGAGGTTGAGAGGGATCCCAGAATAGGCGAGCCTTTTATCTCTCCAGTATTGTTGAAAATACATGGTCAAGGTGTAATCCTGGAGGAGAAAAAGAAAAGAAAAAAGGAGTTTGTGCTCAGCCACAGGCAAGTTTCCTCCACAACAGGCCCAATTCAGGTTGGAATCCATGAGAAATGGGTTATTTTCAGACAGGGTTAGGAAGCAGTGGTTGCTTTCTTCTAAATGCAAACATACATGTTTGCATGTGTACGTCATGTCTATAAGTACTCTGTTTTATTTAGGTAAGAAGCAGACTAGACAAATTGGCATTTAAGAGACACCCTAGAAATAAAAGCCAAAAGAAAAAAAAGTCATCATAAAATTAGAGAGTTGGCAGGGAACCTAGGCATTAGCCTAGGTCCTCCTCCTCCCACCAGGCATACCTATGCCTGGGCAGCCAACAAGAAGCCAGTCCTGGCTACAAACTCTCAGCAGTTTAGACTCTTCCTCTCCTTCCTTCCACCCTCCACACAGCTGTAAATGGAACCCTCTAGAAAAAAACCACCAGTTGGGGACAGGATGACCTGCGTGAGATCTCTGCATCACATGTCACATTTCCCTTTCCTTCTAGATTGCCAAGGCCATTGCCACACACTAATTGGGCCAAGTCATCACCTCTAGAAGAAGATACTTAGAGAAAACAGCACTAAAGCCAGATGTGGGAGGAGGCACTAGACTAGGTGCCAGCCCCACAAAGTAAGCAGCAAAACAGGCAGAGGACCCCATGTTTTTGTTTTGCAAAGTAGTTAGTGCAATAAGAAAGTGGGGGAAAAAGACAAACCAGAGGCTAAGCATGGAAATTCTATTTTAAAATTTCTATTCTTTTTGGCAATCATTGTTCAAGTCCAGAGTGATCAGGTCTAAAAAACCTGGTCATGGTCATGGGACATCCTGAACCACACCGTGGAAGGATCCACTCTGAAAATCCCAAGGAGTCAGTAAACTCTCCAGCCAGGGAAGAAGAAATCACTGTTGTTACAGGCAGGAGCACATCTGCTTTGCAGGCACTGAGGGGCAGACGGCAAACCAGCTGAAGAATCTATCTCATACATGGGTCTCCTGACATCCCATCCAGTTCTTCTCGCCACCTCACAGGGCAGTTCTCAGAGCTCCCCGTGCCACTGACTGTCTGTCGCTGGCCACAAGAATGCTGGAGCAGAGGACCCTCCAGAATGACAAAGCACACCTGCGCTCCTCTCCAGCTGCCATCACAGATGGGGAGGTGACAGAACCAATACATGCTTCACAACTACGGACAAAAGAAAGTGTAAGCTAGAGGGCCCATAAAAAATCAGAGAGAGGGAAGCAAACACTGCAAAAAGCCTGAGGAGCCCTTTTTGTTATATTTTTTTATTCTGTTTATACTTGCTCAGTCATGACCGACTCTTTGCAGCCCCATGGACTGTACCCCACCAGACTCCTCTGTCCATGGACTTCTCTAGGCAAGAATATTGGAGTGGGTTGCCATTTCCTTCTCCAGGGGGTCTTCCCATCCCAGGGAGCAAACCCAAGTCTCCTGCATTGAAGGCAGATTCTTTAATGTCTGAGCCACCAGGGAAGCCCTTTGTTGAAACTTTATTGCAACTAGAAAGAAAGTTAGCATTTGAGTGGAAGTGAAGAAACACAGGCATTTTTTCCTCCTCACTTTCATGGCAAAGGTCTGTGCCTGGTATTAATTGTGTGAAGCCCCCATACACACAGAAAGTCCTACCAGCAATTAAAAATTCTCACAAAGCAGGTGGTATTGAAGCCTTGGTCAGCCAGACACAGGTAGGGGAATGAAAAGTCTCACAAGGACTGTTGCTTTTACAGAACTGATGAGAAACCCCCAAGGAGTGCAGTTTTGCTGGAACATGGGGTGCAAGAGGGGGAAAGTATAGAGTGGTGGGCAAGGCTGGACTGCAGCAGTGACCAGAAAGTGGAGAAACTCGAACACTGACTCCAAAGCCAAGGACCAGTGAAGGTTTCTAAGCAGCAAATGACATAACCACGTGTGTCAACCACGTCTTTTAGGTTTTGATTTCTCATGCTTTAACATGCCTCCTCCTCTTGGTATCTGTTGGTGACAAACTCTCTTTTCAATGAGAGCTGTCTCCTTATCTGTTGGCCTTGCCATACCTGAATAATAATAATAAAACCTATGCTTTAAATTCAAAGCTGTGGGTGAGGAAGATCAGTTTTGCAAAGGTGAGTTCAGTGGGTAACAAGGATGATGAGCAAAACCCTCAGTGAGTGGGAGATCCTGTTGGGGGGTGATGAGGGTGGACAGAGAAAAAGGATGTTGGTTAGCAAGCCACAAGCAGTAGGCTTGATGCAGACCCTCAGGATGCGAACAGGACAGTTCACAGTCATGTCCCAGCACTACCATAACATCAGTAAATGTAGGTAATGCATTTTAAGTGAAGCATGCAAAGTTTTGGTGGCATAACAAGATTGAGGTAAATTAGCAGGAGCAGCTAAAGGATTTTCAATTTAAATATAGCTCTCTGAATTGCATTCTTTGGAAACAGAAGAGTTTCATCTGTCTCTCTCCTGGTTTCTGAGCCCCCATCCTACGCCTGAGTCGTGAAGTCTAGCGCCGATCTCCCAGCTCCCTTCCAGCTGGTGCTCACGGGGGCTGCCATGAGGCTGGAGGCGCCTCCATGCGTCAGCTGGCCCTGGGAGCCCAGCTGTCACTCAGCCTGCAAGCTCAGAGCAGGGTCTAATTCTGAGTTCTGTTGCTCTTCACAGCATCAGCAGCACCTCTCAGCTCTGGTCTTGGGTGTTTGCTGCCTGACTTGAGTGGACTGAGGTACAGGAGAGCTTAGGAAACACAGGGATAAAAAGCAGCAGCACTTAAATGCAAATCCGCTGCATGGCCCATGCCTTGGAAAGCAAGGGCACTGTGACTTCAGTGGGACACTAGTCAGCATCTCACCTCATTCTCCTGCAGAGAAAGAAGAGGCAGATAAAGGAATAAAGGCGGATAAAGGAGAGATGACTGCCCAGGTACAAGCCCCCTCTGCTCTCTTGGGCAGCTGTGGGGCCATGGTGCTGACTCCTGGGAGGGGTGTTAGGGAACACTGTTCACACTGCCAGCAGCAGCTAACATGTTTTGATGACAACAAACAGGCCTTATGCGAGATCATCTTAATTAAATACAAGGCAGGGATTGCTGTTGTTCTCATTACCATCCCCAATCAACAAAGAAAGAAAAATTTAGAGAGTTCATATACTTTGCCTCCCCACCCCCAGTTACACAAGCAACTGGGGGAACTGGGATTTGAAGGTGAGGCCATCTCCCACTAGGATGGCGCTCAGCCTCTCAGCTCTGCTGGGGTTCCGAGCGGCACAAAGAAACCAGCCTGGTGGGCGAGGTCTGCAAAGACATCCCCGAGAGGGGAGGGTGCAGCCATGTACAGTAGCTTTCTTCAAGTGAGTGAAAGTTGCTCAGTCATGTCAGAATCTTTGTGACCCCATGGACGTTACAGTGTGTGGAATTCTCCAGGCCAGAACGCTGAAGTGGGAAGCGTTTCCTTCTACAGGAATTTTTTTTCAAAGGGGAGTAATAAGAACTATGGTACCACTAAAGCCCCTCATCCTGCAGACACTTAGCACAGCTCTCTGTAGACAGATGCCTTGTGAAGGTCTGTTTCCTCCAAGGGATCCCAGGCAAATTGCTGGTTTCCGGGTTTGGAGTGATCTGTCCTAGATCAAAGAACACAGCCATGAGGAGATGCAATCTGTGTGGACTGGCAAGTCTGCCAGCAATGAATTTGAGTCTGTTCTCAGAAAAAGAAGAGACCTTGTGACTGTAAAACTCCAGGAATCCACAGAGATCTAGACGGCAGTGGGCTAGAGGTGGAAAGCGGGAATCATGGACTCCTCAGTAAACATAAAGTAGAGGTAGGGAAGCAAGCTTTTGGTCTTTGACCTTAGCACTGGAGGTGGGCTCAGGTACAGTCCACCCTGACAGCACTCAGCCTTCTGTTTAGGTCCAAGTCCAACCACTGAATGAGGCTGGCACTGGGAATTTGGGAGGCCCTGATTAAAAGCATTGGTTACCTAGGAGATGGGATTTAGTGGAGAGAGGTCAGGCAGTGACAGGGGACAGGGAAAATGCAAGTGTATCTTCATCCAGACTTCTCCAGGTCACTGAGAACTGGGACTCTCTAGGGTATGATGCATAAATGTGCGTTTTTCAGTTTGAGTTGGTTCAAACTATGATAGCTCATCAGGACTTCCCAGCTGGTGCTAGTGGTAAAGAATCTGCTTGCCACTGCAGGAGACACAAGAGACTCAGGTTCGATCCCTGGTTTGGGAAGATACCCTAGCATAAGGAATGGCAACTCACTCCAGTATTCTTGCCTGGAAAATTCCCAGGACAGAGGATCCTGGCAGGCTACAGTCCATGGGGCCACAAAGAGTTGGACACGACTGAGTGACTGGGCATACAAACACAATAGCTCATTAAAATCACTGGGTAAATAAATAGCAGTAAGATTCTCTCTGAACCACCTCCTAGATTAATGGATATAAAAACAAAAATAAACAATTAGGACCTAATAAAACGTAAAAGCTTTTGCACAGCAAAGGAAACAATAAACAAGATGAAAAGAAAACCCTCAGAATGGGAGGAAATAGTTGCAAACAAAGCAACTGAAAAAGGGTTAATCTTCAAAATATACAAGCAGCTCATACAGCTCAACATCAGAAAAACAAACAACTCAATCAAAAAATGTGCAGAAGACCTGAACAGACATTTCTCCAAAGAAGACATAAAGATGGCCAATAAACATGAAAAGATGCTGAACATCACTGTCATTAGAGAAATGCAAATGCAAAACTAATAAAATATCACTTCATACCAATCAGAACGGCCATCGTCAAAATTCTACGAACCGTAAGTGCAGGAGAGGCTGTGGAGAATAGGGAACCCTTCTGCACTGTTGGTGGGAATGTAAACTGATACAGCCATATGGAAAACAGTATGGAGATTCCTTAAAAAACTAGGAATAAATCTAAGATATGACCCAGCAATCCCACTACTGAGCATATAC